TTTTTTGCCACCCACTCTTTTGGCCTGCTTAACATTTCTGGAAGGGAAATGGCATTTTCCTAATAAGAATATTTCTGATTACATAATGATCTTAAAGAGAAATAGCACTTTCATTTCAACATATGGATGCCAAAGATCCTTCTCTGTTTTCCTTTAGATGCAATTAAATCTGGGTAGCATTTGGGTAGCATTAAATAAGGAATGGTCTGGTCAGATTTACATTTTTAAAATGTAGTATTTTAATAAGGTATTGATCTTCATGTGAATAATTTTGTATAGCCCTTATTGTAATCAACATCTGACCAAATAATTAGCACTCAAAAAAAGTATGCATTTTCTCTGATGAATCCATGCATCGTATCAAAGACAGCAATCCAGGCAGGGCGAGACATTGAAGTAAACATGCATTCAAAATTAAAGAATTATTTACCATCTCCTGCAGATAGATGGAAAGTTTTGTATTGCCATTTTTTCTTGGAAAAGAACAATCATTAAAAAATTGTTGCCAAGCTTACGGTTTATCCATATAGTAAAAATGATAGGGTTTGATGTCTTTGTAAGCATAGTCTAATCTGAATATGCCTACAATTTCCACCTCAGGTTGAAGCCAGCAACACTGATCTTGAACTCTGCATACACAAGATGAAATCAGAAGATGCTGAACTAAGGGACTCGCTAGCCCGGATGGGGGCTCTAAATGAAGGACTAGCGAATGACAAAATCAAACTAAACCATATCATCCTCCAGGTAACAAGATACTATAGTAATTGTGCTAGTGACAATAGTATAGTAATTGTCACTAGTAATTGTCAGGCATAAAGAATCAGGACCATGGATTAAGCAGTTCAGATTATTTATTGCTCATGCCTATACACAAGAATCTTAGTGAACTAACAGTCAGCACTAAATTAGCACTAGGTAAGAGTTAATGGAATTCAAGAAGGGTGGGACTTGGACCTCTTATGACAACATAATGACTCCAGGCTGATTCCTTTCTTGANAGAGTGGTAAGGGTCCGGATCTCTGCGGGTAGCTCGTTCCACAGGGCCGGTGCAGCTACAGAGAAGGCCCTCCCTCGGGGAGCTGCCAGCTGGCATTGTCCAATTGATTGATTGGTTATCATCAAGTCCGCATTGACTCTTAGTGATCATTCAGATCCTTTTAAAACTTTTGGCTATTGGAGACAAATAATAAAAAATGGGAGCTCCATATGGGGACATAGGTCCAGATATGAATATCCTTTACAATTGTGACAAATTCCAAACTGGACTATTTGGGCTATAAGATAAATCAATATTTTGGGTAACGAAATTATAGGTCAGGTTTATCTCAATCTGCAGGTAGCGTCAGAGTTGACAAGAAAAGTGGTGGGGGAATAGCAATAGCAATAGCGCTTAGACTTATATACTTCATAGTGCTTTATAGCATCCTCTAAACAGTTTACAGAGTCAGCATATTTCTCCCAACAGTCTGGGTTTTCGTTTGACTGGCCTCAGAAGGATGAAAAGCTGAGTCAACCTTGAGCTGGTGAGATGCCAACTGCTGGCAGTGGACAGAATTAGCCTGCAATACTGCATTCTAACCACTGTGCCACCATGGCTCTGATGCATAGAATCAGCAGAATGAGGAGTACTTCTTTAGCATCAATTGTCCGTTCTCCCTCCCCGTTATATGTCCTCTTGATTCAATAGAGAAACAGTGTTTTCCTCCTTTGCTGGGTAACATCCCCTCCTGCTGCCTCTATGGATCAGATGTCTCAAGAACAGGCTTTGACAGATGACTACACCTATGGGTCTAATCATCATTCAAATATTGCCTCCTCCCTTGAGGAGAAGAATTGGTGATTGATGATCACATTGGTGATCACATCGCTAGGTGATGACAAGGGACTCTATTCCACCACCTTAAGCCCTGTCACATTAAATCTAAGAGAGTCCAGCAAGTTAAAATTAGTGATTGGCCTTGTTGCTGATATTCTTTTGTGTTAATCGTGGACAGGCAGAGAAGCACATTATTGCAACCATGGGGAAGAATCCAGTGTGAGACAAAACAAGATAATTTTTCAAATGTCCATAAACATCCAAAATTAAACTTCTTAAATCTCAATTTCAATGGAAATAGAGATTTTAGATTGGATAACTGAATAGTGAATATAATCCTGTAGCCAAAATGCTGCCTCCTTTGGAATGTACCTTTTAATCAGTACAACGGCAACCCTTGCTTTATATTAAGCATTTAAATTTAAAATGCCAATGTTATATGAATAAATAAATAAAATGTTGCTTCAAAGCTCTTTTATATGGTTTTTGCATGTTGGATGATGAATTAAATATTGTGTTTATGGTAATAAAATTCTAAAAATAGATTTCTTTCTAATCATCCAAAACATCAAGGCTTTCTTTGTTAAAACATGCAAGGGATTCTGTGTGTGTAGTTAAATATCTGACTGTCTAGGACCAAAATAGTCTCATAAACCTCTCGCCCTTTCCTGTAGCAATTTCTGGAATTTGTTGCATATCCGTTTGTACTATATTTTGAAACGTGTTTATAGACATTTGACTCCTTGGTGTACTTCAATATTTGTGTGAAAATGTAATATATTTGATTAAAATTCTATCCAGTATTAATTCCTCTGTTTTAACTGTACAAATTATAATAGAGTATAAGGCTACACACAGTTATTGTCAATAAGGAAAAGCTGGTTTTCCTGTATCCTATTGCTATTCCCATTGCATTTCAATGGAATGCAATGGGAAATAGCTGGGGGTTATAAACCAAATTGAACTCCTGGTTTATCACTCTCAGTGATAAGATCACTCTCAGGCTTCTTAGGAGAATATCAAACTGGGAGCCTCAGTTCAATTTCCTTTTTCTGTTGAGATTTTTTATTATTATTACAGAAGCTCCAAACTGAGGCTACTGAGCAGTGTACAGCAATAGGACTTCTCATGAAATAATGAGGAAATTCCTGGCAGTGAAAACGTACAATATTTATTGTAAGGAGGCAAGATGTTCCATTGCTTAATATATTACTCAATGGGACTTCTTGGGCAGGAAGTTGGACTGGAAGACCTCCAAGACCTTTTCCACCCCTATGATTCCATATATTATAAGAAATATTAACACCTACGGTATTATTATAAAATAATACATTATTAAAGAGCTGTGCTAGCACAGTGGTTAGAATGCAGTATTGCAGGCTGATTCTACTGACTGCATGCAGTTTGATTCTCACTGGCTCAAGCCTTCCAAGGGCAGTAAAATGAGGACGCAGATTGTTGGGGGCAATAGGCTGACTCTGTAAATGACTTAAAGTGCTATGAAGCAGTATATAAGTCTAAGTGCTATTACTACTGTCCTGTGATATTGTAAGTACTTGACACTCTGAAATTTCTTCATTGAGTTTCCTCTCAGTTCCTTCAAAATGGTTGTGCTGGACAATCCTTCTATGTCAGAGTGGACAATTCTGTAATAGATCAGCTTTTTCAAAGTGGGTGGCCTTCATGTGAGGTTTGTAACTTCAGAACTCCTTGTTGGAGTGGCCCCAGTGCTCATGGTGGATATCTTGATTGAGGTTTAGACAAGGGTGGGTTACAGATTCTTTTATTGTTGGGTCGCTCAGGGACACGCTACGTGCGCATCCACAGTAGTGAAAAAAATTGCTTCTGCGCATGCGCAGAAGCAAAAATACAAGCTGGCGGTGCCTATGGTGCAGCCGATAGAACCAATTCAGGGGCGTGGGTGGCTGAGTTACTACCTACTCGGCCAAACGGGTCCACACCGCTAGGAACCCTCCTCTGGGTTTATATAAGGTGAGCAAATAATTAATCCTGACGTCAAGTAGTATCCCAATAAATATTTGCCAAGTTAATTTTGAAAATGGAATGGTGCAGTTCTCAAGGCAGTGGACTATGGTTGGAAAAACTAAACCTAGTGAAATGCCAGAAACCCCTCAGCAAACTGTGGTTCCAGTTTAAGATGTCAAGCAAGCTGCTCCTGCTACAAAGCCTGGTTATTCTTCTTTCCTGAATGAGGAATCCAAGCCACTTGTAAACAAATGAATTACTCAAATATAGGCCACAGACTAAAAATACATTGGAATGGAGCCCATGAAAGAATGTGGATTCCTCTGCCTTCTAACAATGTCGTGAAGCATGAAGCCGATGGATAAATTGAACTAGTGATACAAAAGGAATAAGGCTCCAAAGTAGGAGGGAAATCCAAAAAAATGAAGAGAAGAGACCCCAGGAAGATCTTCTTTGGAAATAAGTATGCATATGTGTTTGTGTGCATATATGCATATCTATGTTAAGCATTTATTTAATATTTACACACACACATATCACTTACCCACACAGAATCAATCAAAAAATTTACACATACTTTGCTAGAGAGACCTTCTGCGAGAATGGGCTAGAGCTACAAGTCCAAAAGCTTGGAAGACTAAACCTCTGGTCCCAGTGACCGACCCAGATTGGATCCTGTAACACTATGCTGGGACAGGTATATCCACCTTCATTTATGGAAAAGATTTATAGCTAAAATTTGAAAAGTTGGCTTATAGAATTCCTTTGTCCCATTTGGAGATCATTTTCAAATAGAACATTACTACATTCTTTTTAATGAACCAACCATCTCTGAATATATTCACATCAGAGGTGGGTTCCTACTGGTTTGTAGGTATTAACTTGGAGCCCATGAACCCAAACCGGTTCTATTGTCACAGGCGCCATCTTAGTTTTTGGTTCTGCGCAAGCTCAGAACAATCTCCATTGCAGAAATTTATTTTTTTCCCGTTTTTCTAATGTTCTGAGCATGCACAGACCTTTTTTTGGTGTAAATGCGCACCAAACCGGCAGTAATGCTGGTAGCAACCCACCTCTGATTCAGATATTACAGAGTTTCCCCCCATATTACAGTAAGTCATTCTAATTTCCATGCTGGAGGATTTGGTAAGAAAGAACAGATCCATAATCTATTTTGTTTTATTTTTATTTTAGCTTCGTTCCTACCAGTCGCTTTAACCATTACAGCAAACAAGGGTGAAGTTGTCAACATTTCCTTCATCAGAAAGGTTTTCAATGAGGAAGATGCAGTAATCTACAAAAATGGTATTTGTGCTTTTTTCCCCCCTTTCCTTTCTGGATAATACTGTAGAAGTAGTCCTCAACTTAGGCTGGTCATTTAGTGACTATTTTAAGTTACAACAGACTCTCCCAAAGCTACTTAAGACCTGGTTACAGCCATTGCAGTGTCCCTGGTTTGTTCACCCTTATGACCAACCACAGGGATGCTCCATTCACACAAACACCCATTATCTCCGCATTGCAGGTCTTTGGCCTGGTCCCAATTCAGCCATTCAGCAACTTATGGGAGCCTAAAGCTGTGCAGCAAAAGCTATCAGTGCATGGGAAGCTGTTAAGAGCTTGTAGGGCGAGGCCTTTCCCCCACATAGCCACCTATGGACTTGCAGAACCAAACCTGCTCCTCAGCTAGCTCCAGGGCCCAGCAGTATCCAAACTTACCTTTCTATTTTTTGCAGAGGTGCCCAGCCGATGTGATGCAATGAGATACCATATAATATGATGCAATGCAGTGTCATGCCATGCCATGCAAGGCTCAGCTTTCCTACAGAGGTCATCTCATGGCAACCTCGTTCCATTGTTAAAAGTCTATGGAGTTTCTCAGTTTCTCAGTCATCCGGGTCATGGTTGTCCCAAAGGTGCTTTTTCAGAAGGCAATTGGACTTTCTGGGTTTTTTCTTTGAGGATAGAGATAAACCTCCAAGTGGCCTCAACGACTTCTCTAAAAGGATGCAAATGACTAGCTGTCTGCAAGAGATATAAATCCTTCCATTCCCCACCATCCAGTCAGAGCTGAAGAAGCTTCTTGGATAAGAAATGAAATGTTTCAAAGAAAAAACAAGAAAGTCCACTTGCTTCCTGAAAAAGCATCTTTGGGACACTCATGCTATTGTGCAAACTGATACAGACAGTCCTCAACTTGCAACAACCAATGAGCCACAAATTTCTGTTGTTAAGTCAAACATTTCTTAAGTGATGTGTGCCTCATTTTATGACCCTTCTTGCCATGGTTGTTAAATGAATAACTGCAGTTGATAACCTGGTTGTTAAGTGAATCTGGCTTTGCTTGTCAAAAAAAAATCACAAGGGGAATCACAGCAACGGTCATAAATATGAACCAGTTGCCAAACACCTGAATTTTGATCACATGACCATCAGGATACTACAGAGATCGTAACTATGAAAAATGCAATTGGGTCAAATTAGTGTTGAATCTATGATTTATGGTGATTGTATTTTATGATTATCACTTGTTGCTTGTATACACACTGAGAGTTTATACCCTGGAGACAAATTTCTTGTTTATGTCCAATCACGTTTTGCCAATAAAGAATTCTAATTCTAATTCCAAATTAAAATGCGTAATCTTCATGGTGGAAGAATTATATAGTAGCTAATTAAAATGATTAAAGTGATAATCTGGAAATCTGAGACTGGATAACTGGGTACAACTGGGTATTACCATATTAGAAGAAAAAGATCCAAGTGGCAAGGGGTTTTATTTTGTATTTCAAATTTTAATTGATCTGTACATAACCCAAGAAGTGTTTTAATCTGAGTAATAGTAACAATTAAATGTAGAATCTCCCCTATCTCCATGCGAAAGGAAATAAGAAAAATCACAAATGTTCCATTTTATCTGTGCTCATTGTTTCATACATTCAAAATATTAGTAAAGCTTTAGATGTCAAGTGATGAATGGGTGCTATGGAAAATCAGTTGAAGACATGTTCTCATTGTTCTCAGAAGACATGTTTTCATTGGTTGATCCACATCTTCAATTACATGCCTTTGGATTTTTCTCTCCATTGCAGGTACGTTTATATACTCTGTTCTCAAGCGAGTTCCAGAACTGCTAACAATACCCCTGTCTTCAGTTCACCTTGATAATGCAGGAGTTTATTCAGCCAGATACATAGGAGGAAGCCATTTCACTTCAGCCTACACTCGACTGATTGTACGAAGTAAGATTTGATCAACTCCTTAAACAGAAAGCTAAAACAGGAATCCTTTGGCCTTTACTCATAGGATGTTCTTTTAACACTGAGTCATGGGTAGAGATATTATTTGCCTCTGGGGTTCTGTACAAGCAAGCTGAAATGCTATCAACTTTCTTTTTTAAACTTAAAAAGTATGCTTAAGTTGCTCTGTTTCATTTTGAAGAAAATACATTGTAAGATGCCAGTCTAAAGTATGTTCCTAATTTGGATCAAGGTGCCAAGCCATCTTACAGCTGCAAACTGGTTCCCCATATCTCACTCTTATCATTCTTTTGAGGTCTTGAGCTGGCTATTTCTTGCACATCTGACTTTTTACAACATACGATGTAGCTCTGGAGAGATTTAGAGAAGAAAACTGCGATGAAGCTCTGGTATAGCTAAGGAAAGAGATGTTGCAAGATTTCTTTTCCAAAACAAAAATGTCTAGTTTAAATCTGACCTCCAAAGTGTAAACCAGTTAGCATGCAGTTTTGTTCACTTTCAACTAAAGATATGTTTACCCACCCACTTGGTTTTACTCAACAAACCCCCAGAATTACTTTCAGGCTATCCAACATCCTCCCTTTTGCCATTCTCAAAAGCCCCAATATAGATAATCCTCAATCTATGACCAGAATTGAGTGAAGAATTACGATTGTAAGTCATACCGGTCATTAAGTGGGTCCATCACATGACTGACCTGATTTTATGATTTTTTTGGTGCAGCAATTGTTCAGTGACTCTGCAATTGTTAAACCTATTCTCTGTAATGGGTGTTGTTGTTTTTTTTGCTGAAAACAAGAAGTAAACACTGGTTTCTGGCAAAAAAAAGTCATAAATTGCAGGATGTTCCAAATGCAAGTAGCTTACTGAGCATACCTGGCAGGCAAGGCCAAGAGATGGGCTGTCAGAATTTTGAATACAGTTTATAAGAATCTTTTGGGGAGGTCTGTTGTAACTTTAAATGGTTGCTAAGCAACTGATCATAAGTCAAGGACTACTTGTATTACCCAGGAGCCTACCAGTGTCCCCTCCAACTAACTGGTGGGCCTGCAAAAATTGGCAACTAATCAGTGTTTGACTTCTCATGTTTTCCTCATTCCATTTGATTTTTGTGGGAAGAAAATAGAGCTGCACATCTGAAACACAGCAAATTGCCACAAAATGCCTTGCTTTTGGTGGGGAAGGACAGTTGGGAAGCTGGAAGGCAAACCTTCCTATCGGTGGGGAAACAGCCAACCTTGCAGCTCCAATATTAACACTCAAAACTGTCTTCTCAGTTGGAACCCTGGAGTTTCCTTAAGCTGAATATTAATAGGCGAAGCTTTGGAAGAACTTCTGAAAAGTGAGGTTTTGATTAGGATAGGTTGTCCATCCAACATCAACATAAACCGGATGTGTGGACTTTGCAGCCAACAAATTCAGTCTTAGTCTACTCTATTCAATCAAACTTGATTACCCTGAAGTTTAATAAGCCTTTCATTTTATCGGCCAAAAAAGAGAAGAAAAGAGTGAAGTAGGGCAGTAGATTTCAGGCCACCCTTGCAGATCTGTTATTCTGGGTAATTTAGGTCTGGAACACATAGAAAATTTCTTGAGTTAAGAGGAAATTATAGAATTATGCAATCTGAGTTATGAAAAATTTGTTTTGAAGACCACACCCAGCAGTGACTGACTGGGCTAAATGAATTCATTGAGATAGCATACATTATGTTCTTCCAAATATTTGTCATCCCCTGTATTTGGCTTCCTGTTTTTGTTCTTTAATCTTGATTGTTGTTAGTCTTTCAGTTGCCAGCATGTCTTATGAGCTAGGTGCAACTGCTTGCCATTGGAAGGCATTTTGGTGATTGTAACAATCTTGTAGTGTTTTATCGTTTTGTCACCAGGGATGAATTATCAAGGCTCACATGTGACTATCAGACAATTGTCAAAAATCCTGTCAAGATAGACTCCTTGGAGTCCAACCTAAGTGCTGGTGATTTCATGGTTACATTTTTTTAGTTTTATTGACAATCATATTGAAGTGGGGCCCTCTATAAGGAATCCAGTTCAACCACTGCTCACCTGCACTTTTCCTGTAATCTCTTTTGGTGGGAGGGAAGAAAAAGGAGAGGTAACAGAGACAGGGAGAGCAAAAAGTTTTTCAAAGAGAGACAAAACCATTCTTCCTCAAGAGATTTCTTCTAAGATGATACAAATAAGAAAGGCTGTTCATTTCCCTATGCTGTGCTCCCCTTGACACTGAGAGATACTCCAGTGGAGATTTACAAATCCTTTTTCACTATTTAGCTTACCAACTCTCCTTATGTTTTTATGTAAAGGGTGTGAAGCTCAGAAATGGGGACCTGAGTGTTCTTTTCCTTGTCCAGACTGCAAGAATAATGGCATCTGTCATGAAGATACTGGAGAATGCATTTGCCCACCAGGCTTTATGGGGAAAACATGTGAGAAAGGTAAAAGAAGAAAAAAGATCATGTGTTGATGAACAATTTCCCCTAAAACAAGAGATCAATATATCTAATATATTGACCACATTTGAGGTGTTATGGTTTAGAAGCTATCAAAGAAGTATTTACAAAGATACTGGTAGTGGTGAAGAGCAAAAAAGTATTCCCTCCCTTATTAAGAGAATTTAGTACAGCTTAATCCTATAAAGGTTTCCTTGCTTTTAAGGAAAAGCTTTTAAGGAGGAATGAAACTGAATTTCCTTCCTTCCATCCATCCATCTTTCTTTCTTTCTTTCTTTCTTTCTTTCTATTTCTCTTTTTCTTTTTCTCTTTTTCTTTCTTTCTTCCTTCCTTCTTTCCTTCCTTTCTTAATCTATCAATCT